GCAACCGCTTATATGGGTGCCCACAGCATTGTCGTGGGGGGGGGGTGTGGAATTAGGGGGGGGTCTTAGTGCTGCATGGCCCCTGGGACGGCACGGAGCTGGGGACCCCAGGCAGGAAGATGAGTAAATCGATGTGGGGGGGGGCAGGGGGGGGTGGGCTCAAGCCTGCTTCGTTAGCACATGCGACAACGCTGATTGATAAGCAAGAACTGCAACGAGCTGGGGAGCCGGCCCCGGATCCGCGCGCAGGCTCCCGGCTGGGCTCCTAAAGTCCTTCCCCTCCCGCTGCCTCAGTTTCCCCAAACCTCACCGGGGCTTTGTCCACAGACCACAGCACCGCAGCCGCCCCACCGTCACACGGGCACCTCTCCCAGTCCAACACAGGGGCTGCCCGCAGCCCCCCACCCCCCCAAAAAACCCCCACAACGCCGGGGAGCCCAGCACATCAAGGAAAGAGGAGGTGGGGGTATCCCCAGGCCAAATCCGGGGGTGCTCCCGCTGAGGGTGAACCTCACACCCGGTTGGGATGCCCCCCGGCCAGGGCTTTCTCCGCTGCGGCCCCTCCGGCTTTTTTAAAGCAATAAACCCCAAAAAGCTTATATTTCTTGTCGGGGAAGCCCAGGTTGCGGACGCCGGGCTCCCGGCCCCCGCAGCGTGCGCGGGGGTTGACGATGGGGTAGCGGATGCTGCCGTCCTCCAGCCAGCCGGCCTCGCAGCGGTCCAGCAGCTGGATCTTCCAGGCGGCGTAGAGCTGGCCCACCTTGGCCACCGTGGCCCCGTTGTTCTTGCAGGCCTGCACCGCCTCGGCGTAGCTCAGCTTGCGGTACGTCTTCAAGAAGTAGACTTTGCCTTGTGGGGTTTTTTTGGACACACACAGAGAGAAAGAAACAAAAAAACACAGAAAAACAGGGGGTGTGAGGGATGGGGACCCACCTGCAGCATCCAGATTTGAGTGGCAGGTACCACTCAAAGAGTGGTCGGGCACTGGAAGAGCCTGCCCAGGGAGGTGGTGGAGTCACCATCCCTGGAGGGATTTAAGAAACGTGTAGACGTGGCTCTTCAGGGCATAGAATCATAGAATGGTCTAGGTTGGAAGAGACCCTTGGGATCATCGAGTCCAACCATCTCCCCTACTCTACAAAGTCCTCCCCTACACCATATCCCTTAGCGCATGATCTAGTGCCCAAGATTATAGGTTTCTGGTGGGGTGTAGTATGCGGGGTTGTGGGTGTGGGGTTTAGTTGGTGGGTGGTGGTTTTGGGTTTGTTGTTTTTGTGGTGGTTGTGTGGTTGTGTATTTTTTGGGGTTTTTGTTTTGGTTTGGTTTGGGTTTTTTTTGTGGTTGGACTCGATGATCTCGGAGGTCCCTTCCAACCACTAAGATTCTGTGATTCTGTGGGTGGGATGGGGCAGAGATGGGGGCTGAGCAGTACAATCCCTGTGGACCCCCCCTCATCCCACCACCACCCCCCCCAAAAAAAAAAAAAACCACAACACATTTTGGGGGGGATTCTGGAGGAGGCGACCATCGGGGTGGGCTCTGGGGAGCCACGGCCACGGCGCTGGCAGATTTATGGGGGTCTGCGCGGCGGCGGGCGGCGATGGCTCCCGGTGGCGATTACACCCGCTATTTATCCTGCCTGCCACCATTAAATAAACATCGGCAGAGCCCCCCCCGAGCCCCCCCGGCACGGCCCTGCCAGCCAGGAGGAATTTACACAGCCCGGGAGCCCTCCCGGCTCCCATCTGTCTTGCACGGCCCCGGCCCCATCCATCACCCGGCCCCTTTGCTGCTGCAATTACTTCCATCCCCTGCTCCTTCCCAGGGAAGATGGGGCTGGCTAAAAGGGGGTGTCCCACCCCAAAAGGTGATGGGGCTGGACCCTGGGGGGGTCCCCAGCACCGAACCCCCTTCCCCCAGGGAAGGGACATGACTGGCTAAAAGGGGGTGTCCCACCCCTAAAAATGATGGGGCTGGACCCCAGGGGGGGTCCCCACACCGAACCCCCTTCTCGATGTGCTGGGACCCCAGGGAAGGGACACGGAGGAGATTAGAGCTCAGGAAGAAATTTTTTACTATGAGGGTGGTGAGACACTGGAACAGGTTGCCCATGGAAGTTGTGGCTGCCCCATCCCTGGAGGGGTTCAAGGGCAGGTTGGAGGGGGCTTGGAGCAACCTGGTCTGGTGGGAGGTGTCCCTGCCCAGGGCAGGGGGGTTGGAACTCAATCATCATAGAATTATAGAATCGTATAATCATATAATCATAGAATTGCCCAGGCTGGAAGGGACCTCCAAAGGCCATCTAGTCCCACCCCCCGCAGTCAGCAGGGACACCCCCAACTAGACCAGGTTGCCCAGGGCCTCGTCGAGCCTCTCCTTGAATATCTCCAGGGATGGGGCCTCAACCACCTCCCTGGGCAACCAGTTCCAGTGCTCCACCACCCTCCCAGTGAAGAACCCTCTCCTCATCTCCAGTCTAAATCTGTTCCCCTCCAGCTTGAAGCCATTGCCCCTCGTCCTGTCACTACAGGCCTTTCTAAACAGGTTCTCCCCAGCCTTCCTGTAGCCCCCCTTCAGGTACTGGAAGGCTGCTATTAGGTCTCCCCGGAGCCTCCTCTTCTCCAGGCTGAACAACCCCAGCTCCCTCAGCCTGTCCTTGTAGCAGAGGTGCTCCATCCCCCTGATCATCCTTGTGGCCCTCCCCTGGACCCTCTCCATCAGGTCCATGTCCTTCTTATATTGAGGGCTCCAGACCTGCACACAATACTCCAGGTGAGGTCTCACCAGAGCAGAGTAAAGGGGCAGAATCCCCTCTCTGGACCTGCTGGCAACGCAGCTTTTGATGCAGCCCAGGATGGGATTGGCCTTCTGGGCTGCAGCTGCACCCTGCCTGCTCATGTCCAGCTTCTCCTCCACCAGCACCCCCAAGTCCCTTTCCTCAGGGCTGCAATGATCTTTGAGGTCCCTTCCAACCCAAACCATTCTATGATTCTCTCCTGCTCTCACCCAGGGCTGAGCATCTTCCTGGACCACCACAGGGACCCCCCCCCAACCAAACCATGGAGCTGGGTGCTCCGTACCTCAGTGTCCCCCACCCCCAACCCCAACCTCTCCCCATCCCCGTTACCGTTGAGGTTGGAGGTGAAGCAGAAGGCGTCGTAGTGCTCGCTCTCCTTGTGCCGGTAGCCGTAGTTGCGTACCCCCACGGGGGTGTCCTTGCGGCCGCACTCCTCCCGCGGCCGGGAGATGGGGTACTGCACCGAGCCGTCCTCCAGCCACCCGGCGTTGCACCAGTCCATCCCCTCCAGCCAGGCCTGGTGTAACTGGTCGTGGGAGGCCAGGATGCCATCCTGCTCCAGGCACGCCTGCTGCGCCTCGTGGAAGTTCAGGGTGTAGCGTCCCAGGCGCGGGTGGTAGGGGAAGATGACGCCTGGAGTTGAGGGGGACACACGATGGAGATGAGGGATGGGATCTTGAGAGTGGGTGGGGGGGTCTCCCCCACCTTATTTTGCTGCTGAACCCAGGTCATGGGTGCTGCACAGGGTCGTGGGGGCAAGGATGAGGAGCCGGTGGGGAACCGGGGACAGTTTCAGGGGGGAGACCCAGCTGGAAAGGCCAGCGCAGACAAGCTGCCATCATCTCTGGGAAGATGGGGTGCTCCAAGAGCTCAGTAACCCCAAAGCCCCCCACCCCTGTGACCGCAGGGACCTCCCCCGTGACATCCCCAGGCTCCAGAAGTTGCTGCTCTGGGACTTTGGGACATTGGTGGTGCCCATGTGGGGTCCAGCCAAGCCCTGCCATCCCCAGGACAAGCCTGTACCAACCAGAGCAGCGCTGCTCTGCGTCCTGAGCCCCCCCAGAAAGGCTTTTCCCCCTTTCCCAGTGTCCCCAGCCCCGGGCAGCCCATCCTGGTGGCTTGCACGGCACCAACGCTGCTGCCACATCCCGGTCCCTTGTATCCCCCCCCCTCCCCGGTGCTTTACGAGGCCGTGCCACTATCTATCTCCAGCGGTTATTAGCTGCCAGCCCGTAAACCTGGAGCAACAATAAAAGCCAATAACAGAGGCAATAAACCACGGCACACGCCAGGAAAAACAACCGGCCGTAAAACGGGACCCAGCTTGGTGGGGGGGGGGATGCTGGGAACCGTGTCCTGGCCACCCCACGTGGGACACGGGGCCACCAGTGGGTCATCAACCCCACCACTCATCACCTTTTTCCCCCTCTGCTGACCTTCGAGGTCCAATTTGACCATGCCAGTGTCGTCCTCGAGCTCGTTGGTGACCTCGCACTCGTAGCGGCCGTAGTCTTGCAGGGTGACGTTGCGGATGATGAGGGAGGCGTCCCCAAAACCGTCCTCCTGCAGGGCCGTGCGGCCCCGGTAGCTGCCGAACGCCCGCCGGGCCTTCCCCAGCGCCACGAAGACGTCCACGAAGGCCATGGGCTCCGTCACTTTGGTCCACTTGAGGCGGATCTCGGCCGGGTCGTGGGTGGACACGTCGTAGTGGTAGCGGCAGGGCAGGATGATGGTGCCCCCACGGTGTGTCACCACCTTCCCCGGGGCCGTTTGTACCACCACGGCCCCGCTGTCACCCTCTGCGAGGGACACCGGGCTCAGGGGAGTCCCTGTCCCCGTGCCTGACCTGCCTCCAGCCTGGGCAGCGCTGGCACACGGGCAGGACCCACGGTGGGGATGTGGGCAGGATGGGGGTGGGGACCACCTTTGGGGAGAATTTCCCTCTTTTGGGGGGAATTTCCCTCTTTTGGGGGGAATTTTCCCTCTTTTGGGGGGGAATTTCCCTCTTTTGGGAGAAATTTTCCCTCTTTTGGGGGGGGAATTTCCCTCTTTTGGGAGGAATTTTCCCTCTTTTGGGAGGAATTTTCCCTCTTTTGGGGGAGAAACTTCCCTCTTTTGGGAGAAATTTCCCCTCTTTTGGGGGCTTTGCAAACCCCAGGGAGGGCTGGGCAACTCCTGCTGAGAGCAGTGGGGTCACGGTGGATGCCCCAGGGACCCTGATGGCACTTTAAAGGACGTTAAACCCAACAGCCCCATGGCTGCAGAGTGGCTCCCCCCTTCCCAACTTGGGGGTCCAGCCCAGGTTGCCCCCGTCCCCACTCACCCATGACATGGACCACCTTCTTCCGTCCCCGGGCGCTGGGCAGCCCGTCGGAGGCGAGGACACCGGTGAGGAGCAGCAGAGCCGCGGGGCCAGCGGCCCAGGGG